TTTCTCTGGAGCCATCAGATCTTTTTTTTTTTTTTACTTTTGTTGCTTTTATTTATTTTGCTAATTTAACTGATATAAAATAATGCATCATATTTTAATGCACTTGTAAAATAAACCACCTGCTATTTTGCTATTTTTCCCTTGTTATATGAGCATTCTGTTAGTATCTTTGCAACTGGTTATTGTTAATGATGATGGCTTACTTTCATTTTGGTTTTGGTTGACTTTTCCTTTTTTTCACGTGGGATTGTTTTTAGCTATAAGCAACAGAAAACTTGACTACAGTGAGAAGGGGGTTACTTCTGCTTACCCAAACAAGTTATCTAAAAGCAGATGATCTAACAATTCCATAATTGCAACAAGGCTCCAGACTTCTGCCTTTCCAATCCATTATCCTCAATGTGTAGCTTTCTTCCTCAGGCTTGCCTGATGGCTGCAAACCTCTGGGCATCACATCTATATTCAAGCAGGAAGAAGGACACAGAGTAAAAGACCTGTCCTAGCTGAGCTTACTCCTTTTCATGATGAAAACAAGAGCTTTCTTTGAAGCCATGCCAGTAGAGGTCTGCTTATATCTCATTAACCAGAAATAAGCCAAACAGCCATGCCAAGTTACAAGGGAGACTGGGAAGATGACAACTTTTTGTTTTTTGTTGCGTTTTGTTTTGTTTCTTTTTTGTTTTTCACTCATGTATCCTTCATTTAATCACATTTAAGCCTTTAGCGTGACCACATTCAAGCCATCCTGTATAAATCACATTCTAACCTACCTTTAAAAATTTTGTCTTTAATTTCTTAAAAATGTATTATTTATTTATTCATTCATTCATTCATTTGGGCAGGGAGAGAGAGTATGAGCAGGGGGAGGGGCAGAGGAACAAGCAGACTCCCCACTGAGCAGGGAACCTGATGTGGGGCTCGTTCCCAGGACCCCGGGATCATGACCCGAGCCAAAGGCAGACACTTAACCAGTTGAGCCACCCAGGCGCCCCCAAAATTTATTTTTTAATTAAACTTTTATTATTTTTAACTTTAATTTATGCACAAAATTTATCTTTTTCATTGTATAGCCTTATGAGTTTGGAAAACAAATCAGAGAGAAAGATGATGATTTTTTTTGAAGATTTTATTTATTTGACAGAGAGAGATACAGTGAGAGAGGGAACACAAGCAGGGGGAGTGGGAGAGGGAGAAGCAGGCTTCCTGCCGAGCAGGGAGCCCGATGTGGGGCTCCATCCCAGGACCCTGGGATCATGACCTGAGCCGAAGGCAGACGCTTAATGACTGAGCCACCCAGGCGTCCTGAAAGATGACTATTTTTAACTGTGAATACTGATGCTTGGTGTCTCATAATGGAAAAGGACCATTGCTTAACACAACAGAGTCATTTGAGAATGACAAGAACCCTTATTAATGCACCTAATCAAGGCTTCCTGAGATGAAATGAAATGGAATAAAGTTAGCGAACGATGGGTCCCCTTAAATCAAGGGGACAATTTGCCTCTTAAGAGTACCTGATCATAACCACTAGGTTTCTGCCTTCCTAAAGAGCCATCCCTTCTGAGCATTTCCTTCCAGGGAAGATGAGGCTAGGATCCCAGCCTCATCCCAGGATCCCAGCAAGGATGGTGGTGGTTGTTTGATGAAACACTTGGTTTTGTTGTCATGATTGGGGTGAAGCCCAAAATGGATGGATAGCAAATAGCTGGTACATGCACATTTTCATTAAGCATTCCCATTTCCAGCATGTCTGAGTGATAAATGATCACTCAGATCAGGTAATACAAATAATTGAATATCTCTATCAAATTTACCATATTAAGGAAAGGTCTGGCATGTCCCAACAATGTGAATACACTATAATATCATTACTAGCATTTATTGAGCACCTATACTAGATGCTTACCATATAGTATCTCATTCAATCTTCACAACCACCATATGACCTGGTGTGTTGAATCTTCTCTGGACTAGAGACAGATGGACTTGACACTTCACTGTCAATTTTATGTAGAATGTGTTGAGATGTAACTCACATTTATAGACTTGCTTGGTTTTCATCTATACTCATTAAGAATAAAAACCAGGGTGAAGTAAGTCAAAAGCATGGTCAACATCTTATATATTTTAAAATAAGTGTAGATTTAGTCAATTTTAGGTGTGTGTGTTTTAAGTTTTTAAAGATTTTTATTTGAGAGAGAGCGAGAGTGCGCACGGAAGGAGGAACAGAGGGAGAGAATCTTCAAGTAGACTCTACACTGAGTGCTGAGTCCAATGTGGGGCTCATGACCCTGAGATCACCACCTGAGCCAAAACCAAGAGTCAGACGCTTAACTGACTGAGCCACCCAAGTGTCCTTTTTTTTTAAAAAAAATATTTTTATTTATTTATTTTGGGAGAGAAGTTTATTTATTTAATTTTATAGGAATCTCTACACCCAGCATGGGGCTCCAACTCAGAACCCCAAGATCAAGAGTCACATGTTCTTCCAACTGAACCAGCCAGACACCCCTAGGTGTGTGTTTTTTAAAAAAATTTAACTTATGTAGATCTAATTTAAAATTGATTAATTCTAGTAAGGTATCTCCTTAGTGCCTCCTCCCTGCTTTAGTTTTGTATATATAATTTGCATAGAGTTAATTCATGTTTACAATAATTTTTTTCAATTAACATTATCTCTACGTACTTTTCCACAACTTTGCCACTACAACTTGGATATTTTTCAGTCTGTCTGGGCTTCAGTTTCTCCTCCTATAAAATTAGGCAGTTGGGCTATTGTTTAATAGCCAAATTTTTTCCAGCTCTAATATTCTGTGACAATTGCATATTTATTACCTACAGGCAAATAATGGAATAAATGACAAAGGAGTCTTCTTTGGAGAACAAGTTTACTTCAAAACATGGATGCTACTTAATGGACCATAACTTTCCTGTTGTTCATGAGTCAGCATGAAAACTACCTCCAGAGGAGGCTAAGTAGGTCAGATTTATCTAAGAAGACAGCTGTGTAATCCCGTCTCCCTCTCCAGCCCCATGGCACTGCTGATACATGCTGTTGGCTTTTTGAACAACAGTCAAATAACATTACCCACTTTGGAAAGTCCACAAGACCACGACCTGAAAATCAAGCTGGCCCTTAAAAATTTTCAGGAGAACAAAATAGAGCTCTTTTTACATATGGTCCCCAGCAATTTTCCTCTATCTTTTAAGGCACTTTCATAGATTCTGTAATACCAGTTAGTGTGGGCAAGACTTTTAGTAAAAAAAAGTAAAATAGTTTAAAAATAAGAAAAAAAATTAGTAAAAAAGTTTTATACCATGACTTTTTATTAAGCCTGTTTCATAAAACCTGTTAGGTCATTAAAGTTTGCTTGCTTTCCTAAGTCATAAGAGGGCTTAAAAATACATATTGTAAATAAATAGGCCAATGAGAGAACTTTCATTTAAAAATAAACTTTGAAGGTACAGTTACTGTCTACTGGGGCTATGCAAGTATTTTTTTTTTGTCAGAAGAGGACCCCTTAACACAGTGGGAGAACCTTCAGAGCTCAAGGGGCAAATACAAACCCAGAGAAGTAAAACGAAGGAAAAAAAGGGACACATGAGAATGGGACTGAAGATCCTTGCCATGGAAAGGAAGATGCTGGCAGGGAACACAGGGAAAAGGCAGGGAACAGAGTGAATACTGGAGGTGTTGAGGTTGGATAATGCAAAGTGACTTCCTTGGGAGAGCGAGGATCCGTGATTGATTTAGTCCTTCTTTGGCATCTGTCCTATTTGACCACCGCTTTCCCATTGTCTAGACTGTAAGGCACCAGAAACAATTAAATAGAGGATCAATGTAAGCAGACAGGTGTGCCCCAGTCACTTCCCGGCTTTCTCCTACACTGCCCATATTCTCTGAATTTCATACAAACTACTCTGGAAGCAGCAAACTGGTTAAAAAAAATCTTATGCCTGCCAATACTTCCAGGCTTTGCAAAGCGATTCCTGAATAAACCTTTGTGATATCGTTGGCAAAGGCATGATCTTAAACTTTTTAAAGAAATCTCAGGCATTAGACGTACTTTTTGGTTATAGGCATCAAATAGTGGGGCTAGAAAATCCATTCTCAAGTATTATATTATCCAGTTAATGTTAGAAGCAGGCAACTGACCACGTCCTCGAGACCTCAACCATGTTTCAGAAGAGGCTCGCTGGACTTTGCAATATGAATCCTCCGGGGAGTTATCTGCAGGGTCTTTGAAGCTATAAATGCCCCAGGAAGAGGCTTCCCCACCTGTCACAACCTGGACCGTCTCCACGGAGGCTGCTGGGCACACCACCGCCACGCCTCGCTGAGGTCAGCCTCTCGGGACTTGGGAGAGCTCTTTTTATTCTAAATTACAGACTTTGCAGCCACCGGATATCCTCGCTGCACAACTGGCAGTAGCCATGTGGCTGCACTAGCGTTTCCTGACAACCACGGCATTATTTCCACTAATATCCTGTCTGAGGCCTCTGGCCGGGCGACTCCCCGCTCCCCGCCTTCTGCGCGGCCCCTCTCGCTCGTGGGTAACAACCCGACTGTGCCCGCGTGCCCAAAGAAAGAGGAAACCATCCGAAAGTTCCTCAAATCGCACTTGGCGACAGTGGCCTGGGCGTCCCTCCCGACAGCTCTTCAGCGACCCCGTCACAGCCGCAGACAGTGCCCGGGGACGGCCGATTTGGGAAGGACGCGGCGGGGCGCTGAGGGGAGGGCCCGCAGCAGTGGGGTCCGCGCCCGGGCGGGGCGTCCTGGGCCGCCGCGTTCGCATTGTCCACGTTCCCCCGCGCCCCGCCGCGTTCCGTCCCTCCCTATCTGTGGCGCACACGCGCGCAGAGCGAGCGGCGCGCCCGGGGCCCGAGCTGCAGGAGCAGCTGCGGCGGCGGCAGCG